GAGAGAGAGAGAGAGAGAGAGAGAGATCCAATCTTGGAGGGGCTCTCCGCCGCCATGGAGGCCATGGACCAGAGGGGAAACTCTCCTCCCATCTAGGTCGAAGTCCAAGGAATAAGAATAAGATGGAGGGGGGCTCTCTCCCCGTCTCTCCCTGTGGCGCCGGAACGTCGCCGGGGCAGTCATCGTGTGACGGCGATCTACACCAACAACTCCGCATCTTCCTCAACACCTCCATCGCCTTCCCTCATCTATATTCAGCGGTCCACTCTCCCGCAACCCGCTGTACCCTCTACTTGAAAATGGTGCTTTATGCTTCATATTATTATCTAATGATGTGTTGCCATCCTATGATATTTGGGTAGATTTTTGTTAAGCTTTTGGGTAATTGGTGAATTTCTATGATTGGTTTAATTTTCTTATGGTTATGTTGTTGTCCTTTGGTGCCCATCATATGATCGCATGTGTGGATCACATTATAGGGATAGTTGTATGTTGATAGGACTATGCATTGGAGGGCAAGAGTGACAGAAGTTTCTTCCTACCATAGAAATTGATTCATACATGATTGAAGGGGGGGGGCAATATATCTTAATGATATGGTTGGGTTTACCTTAATGAACGTTAGTAGTTGCGGATGCTTGCTAATAGTTCCAATCATAAGTGCATAGAATTCCAAGTAAGGGATTACATGCTAGTAGTGGCCTCTCCCACATAAAAACTTGCTATCGGTCTAGTAACTTAGCCAATTGCTTAGGGACAGTTCTGCAAATCCTACCACTACTTTTCCACACTCTCTATACTAACCTAATTGAACTTTTAGTAAAACAACACCTAACTTTTATTTTCACGTTCTTGATTATCTTGCAAACCTATCCCTTTACACCTACAAAGTACTTCTAGTTTTATACTTGTTCTAGGTAAAGCGAATGTCAAGCGTGCATAGTTGTATCGGTGGGCGATAGAACTTGAAGGGAATAACAATTCTACCTTTAGCTCCTCATTGGGTTCGGCATTCTTATTTATCGAAAAGTTACAATTGATCCCCTATACTTGTGGGTTATCAAGACCTTTTTCTGGCGCCGTTGTCAGGGAGCAATAGCATGGGGTTGATATTCCCATGTGTGCTTGTTTGCTTTATCACCAAGTAGATTTAATTTTATGCTCTTGTTTTCTATCTTTGGTTTTGGGTAGGAAACATAAAATACCAAATAAATTAGTTGTACGTGCTAAGCGAATGGATGATGAACCACCCAAAATCTATTATACTGATGAAGCCTTCTACTTGGATCATCTTCGATCCCTATGTGCTCGTGCTGAAAACCCAACTAGCTTAGTTGAGGGAAAATCATTAGATGAGCATGCTCATTTTGTGCAACATGGCTTAATTCAAAAAGGGGAAGTTTTATGGCATCATATTAATACTATGTATTGCTATGCTTGGAATTTTTATGCAAAGTACATGATTTTACTTGTTGTTCTAAAGACCCTAAGAAATGCCTTCCCTATAAATGTGAGTTTAGTGATAATGGAGTCTTATCTTCTTATGCTAAAAGTGTTTATAGTTATTATGATGTTGAACAAATTGAAGAATTTGTTGCTTTTAAGGGTGCTCAGGAAATTGCTTCTTTGATTGAAAAGTATGATGGTACTCTTTACAATCTCAAAATTTTACCATACTTAAATATTGCAATGAAAACTACGCTTCTAATGCTTATATTAAAGAACTTATTGAGCAA